CTGGTGATTTGTATCCACCAGCTTGCTCAACTTTTCTAACAAAGACATCATGAAGCAGATAAATAGACTAGCAAGACTTGTCTATGACTTTCCCAAGGCTGTCTGGAATCAATTCATTAACTATTTTTTTCAAGTCATTTGCGTTTCTCTGGTCATGCATTGTATCATTTTCTTCCAGGTTTGGCAGGCCTGTTGGTGCTGAGCACAGGAGGTCTTGAGATCTGATTGTTGCATTTTTTGGTGAAACCATCACAGAACAGACGAAGCAAATAACCACCTGCAGTCTTGACATCAACATGAGCTTCCATCGTGATCTGCCACTTTTGGAGCATGGAGCACATTGTACTCAGGTGAGATCTATGCCATAGAAGTTTGTCAGGCAGTTCTTGCCCTGAACATCCTCAGTAATTATCTTGAATTGTCTAAATGTAACTTCATCACTCTGCAGGTCACTGAGGCTCACTTCAAATATCCAGCCCTTGAGATCATCAGAAGTGATTTGGGTTCCTTGAGTCCTTGTGACTAATGTTTTCCCAACATTTCTTATATTGAACGAGGCTAGTGTTTTCACTCGTACCAATCTTCCTAAGAAAATGGGTCAACCACTTTTATCTTGGCTCCTTTCTTGCTACCTTTTTTGTTTTTTGGTCGGTCATGGGGCTTGAACTCTGGGCCTGGGCACTGTCCCTCAGCTCTTCTGCTCAAGGCGAGCGCTCTACCGCTTGAGCCACAGTGCCACTTCCTTTTGCTGCCTCTTGTAAAGCACTAGTTCTTGCCAACCACCATGGTGTTGTTTCTTAGAGAGCCAAAGGGGATCCTATTTTTTTAAATTAATTTTATTACTTTTATAATATGACAATTTATGTGTCTAATGATCTTGATTGGTGTCACCCAGTCTATTGTACTCAACCTCTCCTACCTCCCAATGTACTGTATCCAAACTCTATCCTGTTTCCTCCCGATGGAGCATTTATACAACCTATAATTGCCATTGGAATGCCTGTCTCTACCCACATACAACCAATAGGACATATGTGCATAGGGAAAGAGATGTATTATAAGCAATTGGCTTATGTAATTATGACAGTTCTCAAGTTCTGCAGCTACCTGGTATGATAATGATTTAGTTTTGGTCTGAGCCTAAAGGCCAGAGAACCAGACAAGTCAAGGATGCAACTATAATTCACTTGTTTCAATGTTATTTTCACCCAGAAATATCCTCACAAAGTATCCATAAAATCTGACCAAATATCTGGGCACTCTATGGCTCAGTCAAGTTTACATATAAAATTAACTCTTTTTTTTGTTGTTGTTGGTGGTGGTCCTGGGACCTGAATTCTGTGCCTGGGCACTGACCCCCAGCTCTTCAGCTCCAGGCTAGTGCTCTACCACTTAAGACATAGCACCACTTCCAGCTTCTTCTGCTCATGTGGTGCTAAGGAATCAAACCCAGAGCCTCATGCATGTGAGGCAAGCACTCTACCACTAAGCCACCTTCCCCACCCTAAAATTAACTCATACTGACCATAGATATCCTTTATCGCATGCTATTTAACAGTCAATTTGCTTACCTATCCTACCTGTCTCCTGTTTCTTCCCCTCATCATGGGTCCCCTGCTATTAAGTCTATGAGCTTATCTAGGATTACCTAGGCCCATGGAATTATTGAATCCATGTTGATTACTTAATACATGTTTGTGAATAAATATAATAGATTGAAATGAGAGAGAAAAGAATGACATATACTTGATGATAATTGATGAATAATTACATGTAGAAAAGGAAGTAAAGGTGATATGTTTGAGAACTTAAAGGGACGAGGTACTTTGTTGTATGCTTTAGCTCCCATACTATCAAGTGTATGGTATTAACTAAGAGCCAGGTGCTTTTCTAAGTAAGTGCTATACATAAATCCACTCCCACTGTCTTTCTTCCAGCTTGATGAGAACCAACACTGCCAATTTGTAAATCTCCCATCCACAGAGAAACAACTCAGAATCACCAGAGTCAGGATGTCTGATTCCAGCAAGGTAATAATAGCAACAAGTTAGCTCCTCTTCTTATTCAGGCAAAATTTTCTCTCTTTAAGGTGATTACAGTACAAGTTATAGATTCCAATCACCTGAAGAACTAGGAAAAAGAGGAAAGAATGCTGGGGACAGGGTGAGGGTTCTACTCCAGAGTCTTGCTTTGAAAGTATTGGTATTGCTATCGTAATTATTTTAACTGTCTCTGCCTACAAGAACCAAGGCTAGGATATGGTCTAAATACAGGATTCATTCAAGATTCATTTCTATTGTTGCATAACAAATTATCACAAAGTTGGTAACTTAAAACCATATATACTTATTAGCTCACAATTTTGTAGCTTGGGCATTTGAGAGAGTTCATTTGTGATCACTGCACAGGTTTATAAGATGCCAATCAAGGTGTCAACTGGGCTATGTGCTTATCTGATGTCTCCAGGGAAATTTCTCCCTTCAAGCTTGTTCAGATCACTGGTTTCTTACAATTACAGGATCAAGGTGATATCAATAGCTCTCAACTCTGGCTAAAAACACTTACCTTCAAGCCCTACCTTAGGGGTTTGAGCAGGGGCACTTAAGTTTACAAAAATCTATAAGTAGGGGGCTGGGAAGGTGGCTCAGTGGTAGAGCGCTTGCCTTGCATGCTCGAGGCCCTGGATTCAATTCCTCAGCACCACATAAGCAAAAAGAAAAAAGCTGGAAGTGGCGCTGGAAGTGGTAGAGTGCTAGTCTTGAGCTGAAGAGCTGAGGGACAGCGCCCAGGCCCAGAGTTCAGGCCCCACGACCGGACCCCCCAAAAAAATCTATAAGTAGTTATATTTTTGAGCAAAGCTGAAAGGCATTTGTGTATTTTCTTCTTTAATTTGGAATAGTTTTCATTACTTATTTATTTTTGTAAATTGTACAAAAGGTTTCATTGTGATATTTCCAAACAGGCATATAATGTACTTTGATCAAATTCATCCCCCTGTCACTTCCTTAGCTCTGTGTCTCCCCTCCATTTTAACAGCTTGAAGTGGGTTTCATTATAATATTTCACAAATACACACAGATATATATATGTGTGTGTGTGTGTTATATACAGAGAGAATATTTTTGGTCATATTCATCCCCAGTTATTGATGTCATTTTAAGATCTTGGTATTCAAATATTAAGTCCACTGAAAAACACTGTTAATTCAAAAATCTCTTTAGCTTTGTCTTTAATATCTTTCCAAATTGACATGCATCACCTGTTTTTTCCCCATGCATTCAAGGCAATGTTTTCATGATTTTTATATAGACCAGGCCAGAGAAAATTTAGCTTGGAGAATTCTTGTCTCCATGAAAATTGTGTCTCACTAAACAGGTCTCTCTCTACTGTTTATAGAAGTCTTAGGTTTGATTTGTACACGGCTTCATGGACTCAGCAGTAAAAACTATCACAAAGAATATTTTGGAGTTACATGCAAGTATTTTCTGAACTATGTATATACAGTCATATTTATTACTGAACAGAAAGACTAAGCAGGTACTTAGCAAATATAAAAAAACCAGGTATGCATATATACATTCAGAAACAAGATTGTTTTGAGGAAAAGATTCTAGCCAGGTACTGGTGACTCAGCTACCAGCTACACAGGAGGCTGGGATCTGAGGATTGTGGTTCAAATGGTAGAGTGCTAACTTTGAGAAAAAGAATCTCAGGGACAGCATCTAGGTCCTGAGTTCAAGCCTCAGGATCAGCACAAGAGAGGGAGAGAGGGAATGAGGAAGAGGGAGAATGAGAGAGAGAGAGAGAGAGAGAGAGAGAGAGATTCTTATGACTAAGATTTTTGTCTAAAGATCTTTATATTTTGGGTTTTTGTTTTTTTTTCCGTGGGTGCTTTAAAAACAAGATAGTGAAGGGTGCCTAGCAAAGTTGAGGGGCTGGGTAGTTATGGCTTTTTGAGCTCAAACAATTTAATCTTAAGCTAGTCTGAGTTCAAGGACATTGATTTATACCTATGTGCCATGCCTGTATCTGCATTTCCTCATTCAAAAGGAAAAAAATAGAGGCTTAGATTTTGTCAATATTTACCAGCTCTAGAATTCTACTGCCATTCCTATGATCTCCCCTTATCTTTCTATCAGTCCGGGCAGGTAGGGTATAGGTCTGGAAGTTGAAAGAACACTCATTCTTAGACACCATTAAGGATTGGAGCCTATTATAGGCCGCCAGGAGACCCCAGGCCTCTCACCTTGGAAGTCAGATAGAAGTCCTTGGTCATCTGTCCTCCAGTGGAATCCTGGCTCCTATAATATTTGCTCATACTAACTCCTTGCGGCTATTGCTTGTTGGAGGTTTTTAAAGCCACTCCCTCCTCTCCTCGGTGTTCGGCATTTAGCTGCAGGAAACACACTGGAGGATCAGGAGATACTGTCTCACCTGGTGAGTCTCTCCATCAACCCCACAGCTCAGGGTGCAAAAGAGCCAACTTTCCAAATGAACCTCCCCAAGCAGGTCTCTGGCCTCAGTGGAGAGCCACAGGCAGCTGGTAGCTCTGCTCTTACCAAACGGGTGACGCAAGATCCAAGAGCAAATGAGGAGTACACAGCACAAACCAGCACACCTGCTGCCTCCAGGCCCACCAGGGTGGCCAGGTATACCCAAAGCCCCTAATTGACAGGAAAGGTTTCAATCACCAGTCCCTCCTTTTAGCGCCCAACGAATCCCGCCGCACTGCATCTTGGGATTTGTAGTCTCCGTCACCTCCAAGGGTTGCCACGCTCCCTCCTCAATCCCCCTCCCCCGCAAAGGAATACTTCGTTTGAACTCACTGAAAGAGGTCTGAGGCTTGAGGGTGATGGCGGAATAGTGTCTCGTGGGGGAACTTGGGGTGTCCTCTGGGGTGAGGGGGAGGAGGGGTGGTGGCTGTGAAGAGAACGGACTACACTTCCCAGGTGGCCCTGCGCGGAGCCGGGAGCCGGCTGCTCGCTTTGCGTGACCGCGGCAGGTTGGTCCTGGAGCAGATGAGCGCAGAATATTTAGGCGAAGGCGAGGGGCGGGGGGAGCGCGGGGCAGGCGGAGTACCTCGGCCAAGAAAATTATGCATGCGTTAGGGAAGCTCTGAGAGAATGGCTGTGGAAGGTAAGGGACGCTTGGGGGCATTTTAAGCTCCCTCTAAACCCGCGCACCCCAACCCACACATCCCCGTGGAAGCTCAGCTATGGTGGGGAGGAGAGGAAAGGGGGTGGCGGGGAGAGGGCCCCCTTTCCCTCGAGCCACTGGGCATCCACCTGAGCCGCGGAAGGCCAGGAGGCGCCCTATTCAGTTGCTTTGGAGATAGACACGCAGGTGCACCAGACTTTAGGGTAGGAGATAGAAAGTGCACCTAACGGCAGAGCGATTGTGCAGGGGTGGGCAGGGGTGTGTGTGTGTGTGTGTGTGTGTGTGTGTGTGTGTGGTGTGTGTGTGTGTGTGTGTGTGTGTGTGTGTGTGTGTGGAAATGGGGGGAGAATGGGAGAGATCCGGCGTGAGGCTACAGTCCTAAGGTGTCCCTTTGCCTGTCACTTTTGGCTAGGGCCGACCAAGTGGCCACCAATCTGGGGATGCTTGCTTTGCCATCCACATGTGGGAGAAGTCCCTGGCCCAGGTGCGTCATCCGCAAGCTTGGGGTGCGATCGGGTTGAGGGCCCCTTGTCCTGTTGTAGCCGGCAGCATCTACACCAAAGCACCCACGGGGAACAGTGCCCTTACACCCGCCTCTGTGTATACAGTCCTCCCTGGGGCTAGCAAAGTTTACAGAGAGGAGGAAGCCTTGTCATCAGCCAGGGAGAAAAGACAAGCAGCCTCTCTTAGAATTTGCGGGGGAATCCTTTACTACCTTCCTCTTCCCTTGTGTAATTTTGAGTTTGGGATTTGCTGTTGGGTCCGCACAGCCCTGCCACCTTCCAACTTCCTGGTTTAAAAAAAAAAAGAAAATGGGCTCAGGTAACGATGTGAGCGATCCCCAGGTTATTTTTGTTTTGTTTTCTTTTTAAATCTCAGTTTCACTTACTTTGAAACACAGGTCTCTTTGTTTAGGGAGAGTTTTGAGAGCAGGGCGAATATGTGAACCAGAAGTGTTCCTAATATCAAACGAAGCCTGAATGATCCAATGAAATGATCGTTGGAAAAACGAGGCCTACTTTCACTCTAGAACTATGGTTCCTGAGTGCAGCGTGGGTCAGAGGGGAACAGAGGTAGGAAAAAGAAGGCATGCTTGCCAGCTGCTTTAGGCTCCTTGCCAAGGGGGAAATGAGCTTGTTCCTTGCTTGCTAGAAGCAAGAAGCGAGGGTTTACTGCTTCTGCCACCACTCCCTGCCCCAGGAGAAAGAAACTGAAACAATCTGGTTCTTGCTTTCTTTATAATTACTGTCTTAACAACCTGAAGTAGTACAACCAAATTCATACACTCAGCACCCATAAACTCAGCAAACTACTGACATTGGGTGGTCTAAGGTTCAGAGATCCCTATCTGAACACATTCAGCTTCCCAACTGTATCAACAAACGAGATCTCTCTCTCTCTCTTTCTATCATTAAAAAAAGATAGATGTAGATAGCTCTAAAATTAAAACACAGACACCAAAAGCTTTCCTTCCTAGCCTTTTCTCTACAAACATGTTGGTAGTGCAGTCTTGCTTTTTGCATGATGTAAAATTGATAGACTAGACTTCTGATGCCACATAAGGCAAAGTTTATGTGTTCATATTGACTTTGAAAACAGTAGGTTGACTTACTGGCACTCTGCCACCTTACCCATTGATGACATTGATTATTATTCCTTTTCTGTGTTCCCACATGAGTGACACTCCCACCTGTTGGCAGGCCATGGAGTTCTTGAAGATAATTTCCTGTTCACTGTAAGAAGTATAGAATTAATTAGTCAGATTTCTTGTCCTATGGGTGACTATACCAGTGAAACCAGACCTTAGCAAAACAAGTGCTCTAAAAAAAAGTACATCTGAACTTTAGAGAGCTTATTTATCTTTTTTTTGTATGTATGACTTGTCTAGTGAAAATGCCTAAACAGAAGATCGTAGGTGTGAATCACAATAAGTCTCAAGACATGCAGTGAAGGAAGTGTTTTAAACCTTTGCTGCAATTGATTTCTGTCTCAGTCTTTGTAAGTGTAGTTTTCTTGATGTGGACGGGGGCTTGGCTAGCTAATCCCATGGAGTCTTTCAAGGTTGAAGAAGAATTTCAGTTCCTCTGGCAACCTATCCTAGCCATCTTGGTTGCTTTGCCTTCGCAGAGTTTTGTGAACTTCCTGCACTGAGCTTCCCTTGAAACAGAATTTAAATCTATCCCAACACATTCCACCCTTAATCTGTTTCACTACACTCTGAGACTCAGGGAAATCTCTGTGGAATTTAAACTTCCCAGCCAGTAGCACAGAATCTGGCCTTAATATATGCTCAGAAAATATTTAGGGATTTCATGGTCAATATGTTCATGGAGCTTTGGTAACTGGCTCCATAAGATGCTGAAGTCTTTCTTAGAAACCCAAATGTTATCAAATAAAGCTCTTTGGAGAGATTTGAAAACAAAGAGCTTTAAAAAGAAATACTCCTTTTCATAGCCTTTAGTTTTGATAGTAAAAATAACCAGGATCTGTTCTTTTTATCTACTGCTCAGAGTAGCATTGTCTTCCTAGGACACATTTGAGATGCTGAGGAACTGGTACTGGTGGTTGGGGACCGGAAAGGCTGTGATTAGTACTTTGTGACCATGGCCCAGTGATGTTAAATATCCTGATTTTCATGAGCATCCTACCCAAAGTTTCCCGACCAAGACCAAGCAATGCAGTTTAGTCAAGTTTATTGAGAAACACTGATTCAGAGAATAAGACATTTTACTAGAGGAACTGGAGGAGGACATATAGTACACGTTATTTAACATTGCAGCTTTCTTTTTCATATGTGGGGGGGAAAAGTGCTCAGTACTGTTTACTTTCTGGGAACATTGCAAAGATTAGATAAAGGAAAGGTCTCACTGAAGGCTGCATGGAACCTCCCTTCCCATTCTGTCCTCACAAGAAAGAAAAACAAAGAAGAAAAAAGCCATATGTTTTCATCCTGATTTTTCACTTTTCATGCCAGCAAGTCTTCCTAATTTGTCACACATTAGAAAGCTCTTATAACGTGTAACCTTTCTCTTAAGTAAACTTGAATTTGTAAAGGTATTAATTGCTCGAAGAGTACTCATTCATTTTGTCATAGTGCTGAAAACATGAGAGAAGATTGAGACCAACAGCCACATTGGCTCTGATATCATTGGGCTACTCATACTTTGTTGTGAATTGCCTACCTATGGTGGTCAGTGATAGGCTGATGATGATTCTATATGAGCAAAACATTCACTTGCTTATTAAGCCATTGTGAGTCAGGTCTTCTCAAGCTTTTACATGGGCCACCACCAAATGGCACACAATTCCATTTTAGCCCAAAACATATGATTGCCGAAAAAGGAAACAAAACTGACATCCAAGGAAAATAACCAGCTTCTGGAACTCCCATTTTGACTTAGATGTTGAATAAGTATAGTTTGCATGCCAGCCAGTCTTTCTAATGAGTAACAAATTAGAAGGATTTTATGATGTGTACCATTTCTCTTAAGTGAACTTGAACTTGTTAAAGTGTTCATTTTAAGTAGGGTGCCCATTCATTTTGTTGAATCTGCAGCTAAGTACTTATTTTCTTCTCTGAATTTAAGAACATCTTATTTGTATTTCCTAGCCTAGTGGCAACCCATGCTTTGCTTTGCATTTGTGGGTGGGTAACTGGGCATCTTGGAGGTGTGCTTTCCTATCAAAGAACATGAGCCATGTTATATTCTGCATTGAATTGGGACTATTTAATCTATTCTTTTACTGGATAACTAGGATCTTAGATAAAAGATCCCAGCTGGAACCACAGAGTCACTCTTGTCTCCATGAAGAGAACATATTGATGGTTGTACCTATTGATGAAACATTGTCTTATCAGAACTGGGTTACAATATAATTTTCAGAAAGGAAAAAAATGCTCATCATTCAGGAGTTGTATTCAACTTTGTATTCTAAGATCAGTGCCTGGCACTTAGGAGACCCACAGTAATTCTTTCATAAATGAGATATAAATGCATGATTTCCTAGACCCAGAAAAGTTTTTTCCTCATATTTTCCTCCTTTTCCACAGTTTCTTTTTTTGTCCTCACTGTTAATGAGAAAAGTTAGGTGGGGGAACATTGTACATAATGCTTCTATCCCAAACCAAATAGAATAGCTCTTCTTACATGACAGAAAATTGATTTTTGATTTTCAGCATTGGCAACTCCCCCATCCCACCCTGCTAAAGAAAAATGGATTTCAATTATTCTATTTGCTCTAAAACACATCTATGTTAAGGGATCTGACTTTTTCCTTGTAAGTGATCAAATTAACTTATTAAGTGATTTTAGATAAGTCATTTAATGTATAGATTCTATAGGATTTTTTAAGTAGTAAAAGTGATAAAACAGTCCTTCCCTGGAATTTGGCAAGGCTAAATAATAACCGAATGGCATAGAAAAGAAATAGTGTTGAACACTTGTAGAAATGAGAAGCAGTGATGGTACATAGGGCTTTGGGAGTCAGTAATCACTAACTGTCTACCCAACTTACATTGAGAACTAAGGCATAGAGTCAAAGGGGTAGCAATAGCAGATAAAAATGTGGCCTTTATAACAAGGCCACATGGCTGAATTTTTTTTATCTTTGGCTTTGCGAACATTGCTCTGTCATGTGGTGAACTTCCATTCCTAGAACCCTCACCCCCTCCATTTTTTCTGCTAACCCAGAGCAGAGAATATTGGCAGCTGTCAAGAGAATGAGGGAGGGAGGGTGGAGAGGGAAAGTAGATGAGAAAGGATAGAAGAGAGAGAAGAAGAGGAGCAAGAAAGGAGAGAGAGGAGGGAGAGAGGAGAGAGGGGCTGTGTCCTGTATGAGTTGTGATTCTTCACAGACTTGTACATCGGATAGTTGCTGTCTTTTCTCCTGAGCAAGGGTCGTAAGAGGATGGAGAGAGACTGGAAGCATCTTTGTGATGAGTTTCCCCTTATACAACACTTGGAACAAGAGGGGAGATA